TCTGCTGTGCCATCTGATAAGATCATGGCTTACCCACTTTCCTGTCAAACCCCATCATCCTTCACTCCATTATAGGTCAATAATCCACTGAACACAGCATTCATTATATTCAATGATCTTGCTTCCACACTTTCTAGGCTAGACTAATGACTGTCTTAGAAAAGAAATTCAACCTAATCTCCATCTTAAATGCAAGATCCCTTATTCGGAAACCCCCTCGTTCTAGATTCCCCCACAAGAAGAAATTTCCTCTCATCATCTATCCTGTCAAGCTCACTCAGAATCTTTTGTGTTTCAAAAAGATCATCGCTCATCCCTCTAAACTGGAATAAGTACTGCCGCCAACTGTTTAATCTTTCCTCATCCAATCCATCCCAGGATTCAGGCTATTGAGCCTTCACACCTAATTGCCTTCAATGCTAATTCATCTGTCCTTCATTAAGGAGACCAGAATTATCTGCAATAACAGCCCATAATATCCTGGTCCACTCCTCTATCACTCCTAATGCTTTCTCCCTTCCCCATGGCATCTTCCCATGTAATCCATGGTAATCACATGGGGTGGCATGGTGGCTCAGTGATTAGCACTGCTGCCTCACAGCGCCAGGGACCCAGGTTTGGTTCTACCCTCAGGTAACTGTGTGGAGTTTGCACATTCTCCCTGTGTCTGTGCGGGTTTCCTCCAGGTGCTGTGGTTTCCTCCCACAGCCCAAAGATGGAGAGTTTAGGGGAATTGGCCATGCTAAATTCCCCATAGTGTCCAAGGATGTTTAGGTTAGGTGGGTTAAACATGGGGAATGGGTCTGGATTGGATGCTCTTCAGAGGGGCAGTGTGGACTTGTTCAGTCAAATGGCCTGTTTCCACACTGTAGGGATTCTAAATATAACATTTTCCCCTTCACCTCCTCTCTCCTCACTGTCCAAGGCCTCACACACACCTTCCAAATGAATCCGTGTTTTGCTTGTACTTCTTTCTGTCTAGTTTACTGTCTTCACTGCTCACAATTTGGTCTCCTTTACACTGATGAGACCAAACGCAGACTGGGTGACTGCTTTGTAAGAACATCTCCACTCTGTCCGAAGGGATGATGGCGGCCTCCAGTTGCTTGTCATTTCTATTGATCACCTTGTTTTCACAGTAACCTTTCTATTGTGGGTCTACTGCAATGTTCCAACAAAGCACAACACAAGCTGAAGGAACAACACCATTTCATCATCTACTTACGCACTTTACAGCCTCAAGGTCTCAATAACTTTAAGGCATGACTGCATTGTGTCTGTTCTTCTTCTTTCTTACATTCTCTTCGTACTTCCCCACCCCAATCCCAGCCTTGTCTTGTCTATGTTTTGTTTACTTTGCTTTTCATAGAGATGATCCATTTGCTCCCCTTTCACACCTTAACTTATCCAGTTTACATTTCTTTGTCTCTCACCACAAGTAACAACCCCTTTGTCTTTTATGCTGGACCTCTACACTTTCTCCTCTTCTGCCTCTGTCAAAAATATCAAGAATCCATAGCCTGCAAAGCATTTTAGGTCTGAAGAAGTCACAACAGACTCAAAATGTTAAATCTGTTACTCTCCGCATGGATCTTTCCAGACCTGCTGAGTTGCTTCTGTTCTCTGTGTTCATTGTGAATTTCCAGCACCTACAATATTTGGTTTTTACATAACGTAAAAAGTTAGGTGTGGTTTTTAGTTATAGCAACTCTTCCCTGTTTTTGTACTCCACTCCCTTGCAATAAACACCAGTCTACCTTCCTAATCACTTGTTGTACCTGCATGCTATCTTTTACATAGATGGTGTGATTTATTTACAAGGACACTCAGATTCTACTATACCTCAACAATCTGCAGTGTCTCTCCATCTAACTTTGACTCATCCTGCGTTTTCTCATGGATCTGTTATGGAAGTTATGTTATGTTATGACACAAAGATAGATAGAGGGACAGGTAGTGTTGAGGAAGCAGGAAGGCTGCAGAAGGCCTTGAGCAGGCTAGGAGAATGGGCAAAGAAGTGGGAGATGGAATACAATGTGGGAAAGTGTTAGGTTATGTGATTTGGCAGGAAGAAAAAAAGGTGTCGACTATTTTCCAAATGGGGAAAGGCTTTGGAAATCTGAAATACAAAGGGATTTAAGAATCCTAGTTCAGGATACTCTACAGATTAACATGCAGATTCAGTTCGTGGTTAGGAAGACAAATGGAATTTTAGCACTTTTGTCAAAAGGGCTAGAATACCGAGCAGAGGTGTACTACTGACAGTCTAATCAGACTGCATTTGGAGTATTGTGAGCAGATTTGGGCCCTGTATCTAAGGAAGGATGTCCTTTCGTTGAAGGGGATCCTGAGGCGGTTTGCAAGAATGATCCCACAGATGAAGCATTAGGGTCGCTCTCTATTCCAGATTTTTATTGAATTCAAATTTCACCATTGGCTAAAGTGGGATTTGAATCCCGTGACAAGCACATTAACTTGGAGCTCTGGATTACAAGTACAGTGACATTACAACTGTGCCATCATATCCTCCAGCTGATTCATAGTGGGAGCTTCATTCAAATGCTCATTGGATGTTGGGAACTGAGAAATGTGTCTTTGGATTTTCATACCTTGCACTCCAGACACAGCACCAATCCTTTGCCCCTTGGAGCTAAGTGTAATCCATTGGACATCAAGTGTAGATTTTCAAGACCTACTCATTCTGAGCTGGGTTTAGGAGCAGTTATTTCTTTTCCCCATGTTGAATGTTTGCTCACGATTTAAGATTTTGTTTGGGTATTTTGAAATTAGAATATTCTCCATACTGTGAAAACCAGAAGAACAATGAATGGGCATGTGAGCATACCTTCAGAATTTCTCATGCCTGCAATATAGAAAATGAAGAGATGTTGCAACAATAGAGAAGAAGGTACACCACATAATGTCTCTCTCCAGTTGAGACCACTGTGGGACCCATCCCAAGTATGTGCAGGGCCAATTCCTATTCATTCGTAAGGATTAGACTTTGCTGGCAAGACCAGCATTTATAGTCCATCTCTAAATGCCCTTGAGTTCCTTTATTACCTCATGAACTTGAGAGCTGGTTCGTTCTACCAGCTTGCACGTGCTCTGTGTTACTGTGGAGTTCCTTGTTCTACAAACTTAAAGCCATTGATGTTAAATTGATTGCTTCCTGAGGCTTGACCTACTGCACTTTCTGATTGTAGGGTACTCAAAAAAGCAGCACTGCAAGTGGGCAATGGGGAAGTCTTCAATGGCTTTGCCTACCATTTGTAGAAGATTCACTGGGAAGCTGAAAGATGTATCATTCATGAATTCTGATTGTTTTATACCAGTGTTAGAGAGAAAACAAAGGGGAGTCTACCAATAATAAAATATCTCTTGTGTATGAAGTTGGTAGTAGGGGTAAGGGAGGGGAGTGCCTTTCAATGCATGTCTTGCAGGTATGTGTTTGAAGCACATTACTAAAGAATTGCAAGACCCATTCATCTTGGTGAACCTCATTAACATTTCATCTGTGAGATTGGTCTCACTGTGACAGATTCTTACAGAGTCATGTTCAGTCATCTGTGTCAGGGCAGTAATTGATATGATGGTAAGGTGTGATAGCTGATGATCTGCAACTATGTGCAACTGTGGTATTTTTTGTTAGCTCCTCTAGTTATATTATGTACAAGTGATGAAGCCTGTAGCAATTAACTAGTCAATGAACTTTTAATGAAGCTCTTCGTATCTATCTATATACACTATAATCATAGGAACTAGTGGGTCTGGGCTCATTCAGATGTACTATAGCACTCTGCCCTCAGTGTGTAATGCTGCAAGAAGACAAAGCTCCATAAAAGGGAGACTGAGAGCTTGACACCATTAGGTCACATGCCATGATACAATCAGTAAGTTCACCTGCACATCCACCAATGTGGTCTACTGCATCCACTGCTCCCAATGTGGCCTCCTCTACATCGGTGAGACCAAGCAGAGTCTCGGAGCGCTTTGTAGAGCACCTATGCTCTGTTCGTGACAAACGACAACACCTTCCAGTCACGAACCACTTCAATTCTCCCTCCCACTCCCTGGGTGACGTGTCCATCCTGGGCCTCCTCCTGTGTCACAATGACACCACCCAGAAACTGAAGGGGCAGCACTTCATATTCCGCCTCGGGAGCCAACAACCCAATGGTCTCAATGTGGACTTTTTTTTTCTGAAGAAGGGTCCCGACCCGAAACATCAGCTTTCCTGCTCCTCTGATGCTGCCTGGCCTGCTGTGTTCCTCCAGCTCCACGCTGCATTATCAATGTGGGCTTTACCAGTTTTAAAATCTCCCCACCCCCGGCCTCATCCCATGACCAACCCTCCCTTTCATCCCTACCTCCTTGACCTGACACACCTGTCCATCTTCTCTCCCACCTATCCATCCCTCCTACCTCACTGACCAATCCCCACCACTCCCTACCTGCACTCACCTATCACCATCCCATCTACCTTTCCCAGCCCTACCCTTTCTCTATTTATTTCAGAGGTCCCTTCTCCCTCCCCATTTCTGAAGAAGGGTCCCAAACCAAAACATCAATTTTCTTGCTCCTCTGATGCTGCCTGGCCCACTATGTTCCTCCAGCTCCACGCTGTGTTATCTCTGACTCCAGCATCGGCAGTTCTCACTATCTCTATATTGCACATTTGCTGTGCAACATAATGTAACAGAAATAAATGCAAGTCACTGTAACTTTTGAGTGTTCAACAGACATGACACCTCCACTATGTGACTTTACATACTGTTACATATTGTGACTTGACACTGTTACCCAAAGATTTTAAACAGAGAAGGCTGAGACACATTATTTCAGTAATTTAAACTGATAAAGTTCAATAACTCCATTTCAGGTACATTGCAGAGCAGAGCAGATTTCCAGGATGGCAGATTGTCAAATGAGGAGAGATTGGGTTGACTGGGCTTATATTCATTAGATTTTAAGAGGGAGGAGATCTTATTGATATCTATAAAACTATGACAGGGCTGGACAGGAATCTTACCCCTCTCCAGAAATGTCCAGAACAATGTCTCAGGTATGCAGTTGACCATTCAAACTGAGATGAGAAGAAATGTCTTCACTCGGAGCATGGCGGACCTGTGGAATTCTCTCACACTGAAGAATATGGAGCAAAGTCATGGAATATATTTTAAAAAGAACTAGATTTCTAGAAGGTAAAAATGTCAAAGGTTATGGTGTTGAGATAGAAGATCAACCATGATCTTGCATAATGGCAAAGCAGGTGTGATGGGCTGAATGGCCTACTCCTGCTCCCATTTTCTATGTTTTTCTATTAAACAGATAATTTCCAAGTGCTAAACTGTGGGGGCTGTGGAAAGCAAAGTCAATGAAATGGAATGGCTCTGGTCTCTGATCATACATTTTCTTTTCGTGGTAGACTAAGTTTACAATCAGTCCCTGAAGATGTGGGGATACCATTGGTGCTGGGCGTTGCTGATGCTGGTGAGCTGTACACGCGATGTAAAGAGCTCAGGTAATTGTTGAGGTTACAGTGACCTGGGTTTGAGTTATCTATTCATGGAATGTGTTCAGAAATAGAAGTGATAGTATTACTCCATGAAGAATATGCTTTTGTCAGGCAAGTAGATAATATCTCAATATTATCTCAACATTGACTTGATGCTTTTGTTTTGGCTATAAAACATTTGTCACGTTCCTCTGCCAGGTAAGGTTCCTTGAATAGATACTTGGGAATATACACTACAAAAGCACTAGAATATTCAATAGACTGTCTCAATTAAAATAAAAAGGACAAAAGAGATTCAGACGTCCAAGCAGCTTGTCCCAAGAGAATTTCCTCTCAAACACCAGCCATCTAAACCATCGATCCAATTTTTCCTTAAATTTTCCACATTATGTGCCTCCTTGAAAATCAAATTTCACTACTGCAAGGCTACTTTCAAGGGTTATAGCTGGGACTTTTTTTATAGCTTAAATTGGATGTGGGCAACATCTGCAATTTCTTTGTTCATTCATGAGATGTGTGTATCATTGATTAGGCTAGAATTTATTGTCCATTTCTAGTTGCCCTTGGGAAGGTAGTGGTGAGGTGTTATTTTGAACCACTGCAGTCCATGTGCTGTAGGTTGGGAATTCCAGGATTTTGACCCAGTGACTGTGAAGGAAGGTGATTTAGTTCAAAATTAGGAAGGTCTGACTTGGTGGGGAACTTGCAAGTGATAGTAAGACTTGTCCTGCACTTGTCCTTCTGGGTGCTAGAAATTTCAGTTTTGGAAGGTACAGTCTAAGGTACCTTGGTTGTTGAAATGATCTTGTAGATAGCACACACTGCTTCAACTGTTCATTGTTTGTGGAGGATGTGAATATTGAAGGTTTATGATGGATTGAATGTTGTTGAAGTTGCACTCATTCAGGCAGGAGTATTCCATTACACTCTTTACTTGTGCCTTGTAGATGTTGGACATGCTTTGGGAAGTTAGGAGGTACGTTACTCGTTGCAGTATTCCTAGCCTCTGACCTGCTCTCTCAGCCACCGTATTTACTTAGCTAGTCCAGTTCAGTTTCTGAACAATGGTAACCCTTGGATATTGATGGTGGAGGATTAAACTATAGTAATGCCATTGAATGTCAAGGAGCGATGGTTTCTCTTTTATTCAAGATCATCATTGCCTGACACTAGTGTCACGTAAATGTTACTTGCTACTCATCAGCTCAAGTCTGAATATTATCCGGGTCTTACTGTGTTTGGACACATACTGCTATTGTATCCTAGGAGTTGGAATGGTCACTGTTACCACTTTCATCATGGATAGACTGTTACAGGAAGATTAAAGCGAACAAGGTCTAGTACTTCTCCCTTCTGTTTGTTTCCTCACCATGTGCTGCAGGGCCAATCTAGCAGCAATGTCCTTCAGGACTTGACCAGCTCAGTTAGTAGCGGTGGGGCTGAGCCACTCTTGGGGATGGACATGGAAGTTCCTCATACAGACTGCATTCTATACCCATCCTAACCTCAGCGTACCCACTTAATAGAGTTCAACATGAAGAAGCACTGATGCATCAGCTCGGGGTTGTGCTATTGTTGGTGCTATGTAATAATCAGCAGAGACTTTCTTGTCCACATTTGACGTGATGTCATGAGACCTCATGGGGTTTGGAGTCGATGTTGAGGACTTCCAGGGCAATTCCCTCCTGACTATATACCGCTGTGCCACCACTTCTGCTGGATCTGCCCTGCTGTTGGGGCAGGACATAACAAGAGGTGGTGATTGTATGATTGTGTTAGGCTGTTGTCAACTCATCTGTGAGATAGCTCTCAATTTTGGCACTACCCCGAGTTGTTAGTAAGGACAATTTTGCGGAGTCGACTGGAATGTGTTTGCTATTTTCATTTGTAGTGCTTAGATCAATGCAAGTTGGTTGATGGTTCTATTCCTTTTATGAGACTGTAATGGTTAGCTACAACTGTGTGGCTTGCTAGGCTTTTCAGAGGGCATTTAAGAGTCAACTATATTGTTGTGGATCTGAAGTCACATGCAGGCTGGATCTGGTGAGGATTACAGAATTTCCTTCCCTAAAGGACGTTGTGAATTGGAGGGTTTTTTACAAGAACTGACAATGGTCACCACTTTTAATGCCAAAGTTATTAATTGAATTGAAGGTTATAATCTGCCATGGTAGCATTCAATCCCATGTGCCCAGAACATTAGACTGGGTCTCTTGAATATTTGTCCAGTGACAATACTACTACCTCAACCTCCACCTAATTTATTCAACCCATTTCCCATCTCGATTTCCCCTCAAAAAGATGGTGGTGAGTCAGTTTACTGAATTGCTGCAGTGCAGGGACGCAAAGGGGAAGGCCTGATGTATTCATACAAAGGTGATGGTGGAAACATTTCTCATCTTCACTTTCACTGTCCGTTGTGCACCACTCAGGGATATGCTAGCACACAGCTGCCTCCTGAACCCAGTGGTGGGGATGTGCACCATCAAGATGGACAGAGGCAGAACTTGAAAACAGGTTTAAAAATGAAAGGGCTTTTTCTTTTGTCTCTTTATACTTTAGGCCTGGAGGTTTATAGGCTTCTGACATCCAACCCTCAGTCTTAGTGCACATCACTCCAGGGCTTTCGCAGCACTATTTTAACAACTCAAACTACTAAAATAAGGCACGTCACGACCTGGAAAGGGTGTGTGCGTTTTGTACCTGTCCAAAGAACATGATCTCCTCTAGCTCCTCCAGCCTCCATCTCCTCACCTTGAGAAAATGTCCACAGAACTCCTGCTTTTAACAACTGACCCTGACACCTACTGAACCTCATTCCTTCAGTCATAGCTTACCTGGAGCACAATAACTGGGTAAGGTCAGGAAGCCACAGACTAACACAGATGGTTGCAAGTCTGGAGGCAGTTGGGTGGGTGCATCACTGAACATTTCAGGAAGAATGAGGAAATCTGAGAGAGAAACCTTGTGAAACTGTAGGCTTACAAAATTTCATGCCTCATATCATTGCTGTTGTTATCGGCTCATTAACAATATATCCTCCACCCTTTTTGATTTAGTTATACCCCAAGTTCAGAGTCTGAGGCTACTTTGGGCACTGTGATGAGAGGACAAGCTGAATCACACAGCAAAATTAAATAGTTAATTAAATTAATTGTTAAATTGTTGATTAGAACTAAAGCAGTCTGAGTTGGCAACCATAGTCTTTTCCCTAATTCCATAATCCGACTACTGCCTTCCCATTTTCACAGCATTTTACCGGAAGGATGAAGCAAACAGAGTGCTGAGAGTTCAGAAGCGAGCGAACTGGTTCTGGGAAGAGATTAAGCCAGGTTCTCTGGAGCGAGAATGCTATGAGGAATCCTGCTCATTTGAGGAAGCAGAAGAAATTTACAAATCTCGAGAGAGAACCGTAAGATATTTTTCACCTGATAACTGTACGTCAATGTGTGGATGTGTGTAAATGCCTGTGTATTTTGCAATGGTGCTCATCTAAGCCTGTGTGAACATGTGCTAGTTTGAGTTTGTATATATGGCTGTGTGTGTATTTATCAATTATATATTACATATATCATGTGTTTGGGGATATATAATCAGTACTTGAATGTAGTTATCAGCTGTGGCTCAGTTGATAACATGTCTCTGAATCAGAAGGTTGGAGTTTTAATTCCCATCTAGAACTTGAAAGCAGCTTGATTTCCACTTGGGAACTCTGTATAGAACTCTGGGCTCAATATCAAGTTCAACAATTTTAGAGCTTGAGGCACCTTCTCCCATGTCTTTACCCCAACACCTACACACTAAGCCTTGTCATCACGTGGTCTGCTGTTACACACTACCCATTGTTGGTCACTAATAGCCTCCATTAACAGCCATTCATTCTCCTAGGCTGACCATTATCCACTCCATTGTCTGCCTAACTGTTTTTCTCTCCATTTGGGCTCTTTCTCCACCTATTGTTTATTCCTTGTCCCCTCCTCCCGCTCTATTTTCGACATGAAACCAACATTTTCCTAGCTACCATCAGTTCTGAAGAAGGGTCACTGGACCCAAAACGTTAACTCTAATTTCTCTCCAATGATGCTGCTGGACCTGCTGAGATTTTTCAGCAGTTTCTGTTTTTGTTTCTGATTTCCAGCAGTTCTTTTGGGGTGTTTTTTAATGTGATATTCAAGTGCAGTACTGAGGGAGTACATCATTATTGGAGGTACTGTCTTTTGGATACAATGTTTAACTGAAGATCCATCTTCACTGTCAGGTGGATATTAAAGTTCCCACAGCAAGCAGGGAGTTATCCCTGACCAATAGCTATTGCTAAAACAATGTCAGAAAAATAAAGCATCAGATCATTATCATATTGCTGCTTGTGGCATCTCATGTGCAAGTTGGCTGCTAATTTCCCACAACATTGGGTACATTTCAAAAGTACTCTTCTGACTATAAAGCACTTTGTACCATTCCGGAGTCATTAAAGGTACAATTTACTGTTTATTCATTCATGGGTTGAGGGCATCACTGGCTAGGCAGCATTTATTGCCCATCCCTAATTTGCCCAGAGGGCAGTTAAGAGTCAACCATATTTTCTAGGCCAGACTAGGTAAGGATGGCAGTTTCGTTCCCTAAATGACATAAGTGAACCAGATTGGTTTTTTGATCATCGACAATGGATTCATGGTCATCATTAAACTCTTAATTCCAACTCAGGTCCCCAGAATATTACTTGGGTCTCTGCATTAACAGTCCAGCAATAATACCGCTAGGCCGTCACCTCCCCCCAAATATAAATCCAGGTCTTTCTTTTTGTAGACAACAAGGTGCAGGGCTGGATGAACACAGCAGGCCAAGCAGCATCATAGGAGCAGAGAGGCTGACGTTTCGGGCCTAGACCCTTCATCAGAAAAGGGGGAGGGGAAGGGGGTTTTGAAATAAATAGGGAGAGAGTGGGAGGCGGATAGAAGAGGGATAGAGGAGAGGATAGGTGGAGAGGAAACAAACAGGTCGAAGAGGCGGGGATGGAGCCAGTACCTGTGTCTAGCATATATTCAATATTTTGAATTGTAATGTCTGCAAGCTTTGATTTATGGGAATATAGATCGATGCATGAGTACATGTTTTCTGTCTGATTGACTTGCGTACTTGTGTATATTTGTGCCTCAACATTCATCGATGTGTTTGATTTGTGTTTGTATATATTCCACTGCAAGGTTAAAATTTTGCACCCAATGCCCAGCGCAGGGTATGATTTACATCTCCATTTCTGCTCCTGCATCCAAGTTCCGTTGACAGTGCCTTCTCCCTGTCTCATTCCCACTTCCAGTCCAAAGTCTGCTCCCAACCCAGTGTATCAAATCTCAATACCACACCTATATCAAGTGCAGTTGATTAGTTTGTTTTCAATTCTGTGTAAGAATCAACTCCCTGTGCACCATGTGCTTTTCCCCCATGACCTCCCTGCCTTGCATGGACACATGTGGTTTAACTCTTTCCAGTTCAACTTAGGATATTGAGTTTTTCTGTGGACTTGTGGAGAGGATTGAAGTGGTGATTAGCTCCAAGAAGACTAGTTGAGTTGCAATGCATAGCAATTTGCTGTTGATAGAAGGTTCAACCAGTAAATTTGAAACCCAAGAATTACTGAAATCAGTGAACTGGAAACAGGCCGCTGACCTTCGTTTACCATGTATCTGGGAACTTTGGCATTCGGAACATAGTTCATAGGTCTGGCAGACATCGATATTATGACAGGTTAACGAGTTCCATGAGTAGCTTGCAGGAATTTCAATAAACTTATTTTCTTTCAACAGATGGAGTTCTGGTTTTCATACAAGAGTAAGTGCTACTTTTGTCACTTGTACTGAAATCTAATTTTGTTACTGCGCTGAAGTATTCATTTAGAAAATATCCCATTGCTCAACATATGACGTCTCTGACCAACGAGCAGTCCATCAAAGAGGGCTGCAGCCAACCCAGTGTACTATGTGCAGCCAATAACGGTTGTCAATCAAACCTTCTATCTAGGATAAATACTGCTATGTATCCATGTGGAGCAACTAAGCAAGAATTCACAATGTTTGAAAATGAATATGTTGGCCCCAAGTTAATGAAACAATTAATACTTTAAACAACTCACTTTGTTTCCAGGGTCCTGAAGAAGTGTCACCTTGGACTCAAAATATTAACTTGGTTTCTCTCTTCACCAATGCTGCCAGACATGCTGAGTTTCTCCTACACTTTGTTTTTTGTTATTTCAGATTTCCATCATCTGCAGTATTTTGTTTTAGTCACTTGGTTTGCCTCAGACACTTAGTACCTTCTCTATCCAATATGTCACACTGAATGCAAAGATTTGCAATGGAAAGGTACATTGATGACCTTGGATTCATGAAGCACCTCACTTATCCCTCCATGATAACTTGTTAAACTCACCTCTCCCAACTTCCATGTTAACACTCCATACGTGGCAACCTTGCTACCCTTTGGCCTGAGGAGTGGGAAACACACAAAGTCACTAACAAGTTTCTTGCAAGAAAGCCTGTCTGGCGAATGGTGGACTTTGAATGATCACTGAAAAATTGGTAATTGCTAAATTAGTTCTGGACAATTGTCATTGCTGGGGCCTCAGCAAATCCCTTATACACTTGCAGACAGACACAAACAATGTTGCACATCACGGAAGAATGCCTCCCTCCCCAACCCCACCATCGGCCAAGTTGTGGATAAATCACCTTGAATATAGAAAACAAGAAAGCTATTGCATTGGCTAAATTAAAGATAATTCTTGCACCCTAAAATGCAAGTTAAAATTCAACACAGATAAACTCAAAGTTTTGGCAGGTTTTTAGGAGGAAGTTACTGAATGCTAATCAAACCACAGGATATTCCTTTAGTGCAGCCCAAGCTATTGTCCATTATACAGATCACTCAGGAGCTGACCATTCTCTTACATGTTGCACAGCGGATCTTCGTGTGTTTCACTGACTGTTTGCTCTGTGCCTTTCTCTCAGATCTGAACCCTTGCAAATCGACACCATGCTTAAATGGTGGTTTGTGTCGGGTCTCGAGCTACAATTATGTCTGCCTCTGCCCTCCACTGTGGAAAGGACAGAATTGTGAAATAGGTTTGTGGTTCGTCTGATAATGTCCAGCAGCTTACCTTCCCGATAACTGAACCATTGGTACAATTGCATGTCTGTCTGAATATGTATGCATATATTTTTGAGTCCACACGTGTGTATGATTGGTTATTTGGGCTGCTATGCATTGCTGACTTTGTCAAATTGAACACTGCCTTGATCCTATTGCTCTACGTAGAGTCTGAGCACAACATAAGCGTTCACACTACTTACATTCTCAGCCCAACCTCTGGAACCTTTGATTGTTAATGAGTTACACAAACGGACCACCTTTGCCAATGTGATCTGCAGTGACATAAACTTCTCAGGATGTCATTCTCCCTTCGGAGGTTCCCCATTATCTGTGTTCTATGAATAATTGATCTTCTAATGTTGACTCCAATCGTCAGATGGTCCAAGGCAGTAAAATCTGGATTTACCTGTGTTGCAATCCCTGCAAAAGTCCAGCATTCACACATGCACTGTAAATGTCTGCAAAGTGGGCACCAGAAATTCTGATATGTCTTGTACCCTCTGTCTCCAACACTAAACTTGGTGTCAGAGACTTGGGTTAGATTTGTGAGAGTTACTTGAATACTTATCCTAAAACATGTTACACTGTTAATTCGAGATGAGCCAGTGAAACTGAACTGAGCACAACTGACATCCCCTCACTCCCTGATCTGATCTGACTAACCTTTTCTGACCAAACTTAAGCCAACCAAGCCCTCTAACCTGACCTGACTGCATTGTGGTCTGACCCTCACCCTGACCCATCCTAATAATCTGATTTATCGTCCTGACCATGACAACTCCAGGTAACCCAACAACCCACCTGACCCAACCAGATCTCGCCTACCTGACCTGTTCGTCTGTTCAAGTATCCACGTAATCATCTATTCAATAACCCTCACTCAATCATTAAGACTTGAGACTGTTAAAAAAAGTAGATAGCCTTCTCTGGTTGTCCTGCCAGCTTCAAAGACTGTTGTACATATAATGTCAGGTCTCCTTCACAATAAAACCCAATTGTTCATATTTCCACTCCACATTCTTCCTACAAAAATGCACGTGCCCATTATATTCTTCTCATTGTTTGGTACCTTTCTGAGTTTTGTGTCACCTACAAACTTGGAAATTATTTTCAGCATTGCCATATTTAAGTAATTAACGTGTATCAAAAAAGTTGTTCCGATAAATACCAATGCCTATGGCACCTTCCTCCCTCCCTTCGGAGAAAGAACCATTCACTGAAACTCACTGCTCTCTTTCCCAAAAGCCAGAAAGTAGGATTAGGCTGCATGACTGAAGCAGACACAATGGGCCAAATCATCTCGTACTGTGCTGTAAACTTCTCTAATTTTACTTCAATCTTGAATTCAATGCTGCCAGTGCCCCTTTAATCACATGGGCTAGACTGATTAATGAGTCAGTGTTTAATGCTGATATTGAGCAATTGGCTTTTCCTTGTGTTTGTGTGTTCTTTAATTCAGAGAATCTGGATTGTCAATATAAGAATGGCTACTGTCAGCAGTACTGCAACATTGACAAGGCAACAGACAGGGCAAGATGCAGCTGTGCTGAAGGTTACCGACTAAATAAAGACCAACAGAGCTGTGTTAAAATTGGTACTGGCTCCACCTATTACTAACTCAGAAACCACTAAATGTTGATCATGGATATAAACTGCATCTCTACTGAGAGTTTTCCAAACTCAGTGAGCAAGGACAAACTCTACATTTTGAGAAATCAAGCTTGCGATTTGAACTTTGGTTAAGTGTCCTAAACACCCCAAGTGACAATTTGGTTGCTTACAAAGTAACTTCCCTTTCTGCCAATGTGCAGCTGCCCAGGTTTCCTAGAATTAATTGCGAGTTATCACAATTTGAGGAATAAACAGGGAAAGAACAGATCCTGTACAGAAATAATTGGAGGCTGTCAAATCACCATCTTCAAAGCTGTAATGTGATAAGGTCTTGGGGAGTGTTGTTGAACCTTGGAATGCAGGTTCATTGTTCCTTGAAAGCGGAGTTGCAGGTAGATAGGACAGTGAAGGTGTTTGGTACGCTTGCCTTTATTGGTCAGTGCATTGAATATAGGAGTTGGGAGGTCATATTACAGCTGTACAGGTCATTGGTTAGGCCACTTTGGAATACTGCGTGCGATTCTGGTCTCCCTGCTATAGGAAGGATGTTGTGAAACTTAAAAGGGTTCAGAAAAGATTTACAATGTTGTTGTCAAGGTTGGAGAGTTTGAGCTATTGGGAGAGGCTGGATACACTCATAGAGGTTTATAAAATCACAAGGGGCATGGATAGGGTAAATAGACAAGGTCTTTTCCCTGGGGTGGGGGAATCCAAAAATAGAAGGTATAGGTTTAAAGTGAGAGGGGAAAGATTTAAAAGGGGCTTAAGGGGCAATTTTTTCATGCAGAGGCTGGTGCGTGTATGGAATGAGCTGCCAGAGGGAGTGGTGGAGGCTGGTACAAATTACAACATTTAAAAGGCATTTGGATAAGTATATAAATACGAAGGGTTTAGGGGAATATGGGCCAAATGCTGGCAAATGGGACTAGATTTACTTAGGAAATCTGGTTGGCATGAACGAGTTGGACCAAAGGGTCTGTTTTTGTGTTGTATATCTCTATGACCACTGTTCTAATATTGCTATGGCCAGGAGCTGTATAAAAGTAACTAAAGAAGATCAGATAGTGTGGAACATTGAACCATTTCAGCTCTTGGGACCCTAAAAATAGATTTCTGGAAGTCAACTGGTACAGGGTAATAAGTTAAATAAATACGACAGAAAATTCTAGAAAGACACAGGTCAATTGGAATCTATATTTCCCTTTTAGTTTTATAGGCTAAGTAAGCATTTGGAGTTTCACATGATTGTATTTAGAGGCAGGGGATTAAGTGAGTTGGGTAGCATCCGTAATGGGCCAGATTGGGTTTGATGCGGCAGATTGACAATTTTTATATCTGACATAGTCAATTTTAAAGTTCGATGTGATCTAATGAACAGTCCACAATTGATTTGTTGTTATTTATTAATACATACTTCAATATGTTCCAATGAAAACAAATGTTCTGCTTTTCAGCTTAGAACTTAATCGTAAATTTTATCGTGGGACTTTTTACACATGGTTAAAGATCGTTATTATTAACACAGTTTACGTGCTGCTGGAGATTATTTGCAGATTTGTTAAGGAGATGCCTTAGACAATTGTCCAATAAAATGATATCAATTTGGTTGTTAGATAACAAACAATTTACAATCTCAAGGCCAAAATTAGGAGACAGCAGTCTTTGTGGCGAACGTGTAGTCAGAGATTTGAGTCAGCTTTAAATAGATCTTGTCAGCAATCTCTAGCTATTTCCCTTTAAAGGCAATGGGCCCAGTCCAGTTGACATTTTAAGCCATTTTCAATTGAATTCTTGAAACAGCAGTAGAATTGCTCTTCCTGGTAACTCAGGTATCATGATCTTGAACTGTGAGACCATTTTAATCTTTAGTCACCTGAAGATAACTAAATATGAACCACAAGTATCCATTTCTGCTCGAACTAAGACTTAACCAACTGACTTCTCATTGCATCACTGTTATTCTGTTTGATTTATTTGTTTTCCATCTTCAAATGCAGTCACATATCCGTGTGGGAAGATACCTCTGTATGGTACACAAACTCGCTCCCTGGACGAGGAACTTTCTCTCAATGAAACAGACACGGATTCTGACTATTTAGCAAAGTTAAATTACACTGAAGATGTTCATACACGAATTGTTGGTGGAGATCTTTGTAGACGAGGTCACTGTCCTTGGCAGGTGAGATAAGATCTAAAATGGTACCAACCCATTTGCTTCAGATGTCCCAACAGTTTTATTTGCATATCCGTTAGAATCACATTATAGAGGTAGAATTGGAAGGTGTAATGTTTGGTTATATTTGTGGAAACACTGTTTTTATTAAATCTAAAATACTGACTTTCCTGTGAGCAAATATTTCTCCTAAGTGCGAACATGAGAAATAAAGGTTGGAACTAGTGAGGCGGGCCTGGCACAGTTTTCTTTTTCCTTTATTCACTCATGGGATGTGGGTGCCACTGGCTGGCCAGCATTTATTACCCATCCCTAGCTGTCTTTGAACTGTTTGGCTTGCCGGGCCATTTTGAGAGTCAGCCACATTGCTGTGGATCTGGAGTCACATGTAGGCCAGACCAGGTGAGGATGGCAGATTTCCATCCCTGAAGGACATTAGTGAACTCGGAGGGTTTTTCCGACAATCAATAATGGTTTCATGGTCGTTAGTAGATTCTTAATTCCAGATCATTCGTGAATTAAAATTCCAACATCGGCCATGGCAGGATTCAAACCAGGTCCCCAGATCTTTAATTGAGTTTCTGGCTTAATCGTCTAGCAACAATACCACTAGGTCATTGTCTCCCGTGTTGCTGAACGAAACTGAAGTGGAAGGTGAATCTGGTACCCCCACTCATTTCTTGTTCTTTTGGAGAGTGACCTATAAATTAAGCCTTGATTTCACGGGAAATTCTGGGCAGGGCAGGCCTTAACCTAAGTACTGGGATTGACTGGCAAAACTTTTGGTTTCAATTGCGGATTCTAGTGTACAAGACATGACACAGCAGCTTTCTGTATTCATTGCATTCGTTCAACGTCCAGGCAGATTGGGGTGGGGAAGCTGATTCTCTACATGTACATTCAATGACATACCTGTGAGATCTCAGGGCTTCTGCTTCCCATGAGCAGCCACTGGAATGACATTACACAACAACCGTAAAAGATGGCTGTAAAGTGCTTTTGACCAGCCTCAACGTGCAAAAAATATAACAGGAATACAAGTCTTTCTCTCACATGATACACGGTTACCAAAAGTAACAGATACAGACAGCAGTAGCTGTTTCAGCACAGGAACAGGCCCACTATGTCTCAGTGATGATTTTTTTTCTGCAATAGGTCTTATCCCTTGCTTACGCTCACTTCAATGTTCCTCCATTTTAAGAACAATTATTGATTTGTGTTTTATCTGTAATAGCAATCCATTCCTCTAACAGTGGTTTGTAGCATCCTATATTTTTCATTAAACACCGTGGAAATATCTTTTTTTTTCCCCTAATCCCTGATTTAATTATTTTTCAATCTTAAATTTAGGGTCTCTGGTTAACACATTGTTGGGCAACAGATTCAATCAATCACTACTCAGGAATCTACCGTATCACAATTAATCTTAACTGCACCGTAAAAACCCTAACCAGAAGTAATTTGATAATGCTGAGGTACATTGCTTATTATCCTTTTTTTCCTACTCGTAGGTATTGATAAATAATAAATATGATTATGGCTTCTGCGGTGGGAGTTTGATTAACAGTCGTTGGGTTGTGACTGCAGCTCACTGTTTTGACACAGTGTTGCCACACTCAGTTACAGCAGGTAAGAGACAGATATAAGACTGTAAGATGAAGGACAGAAGTAGGCCATTTAGTTCACTGAGTCTGCTCTGCCATTCAAAGAGATCATGGCTGATCTGATAACTTAAACTCCACTTTACTACCTCTTCTCTAAAACCCTTGGTTCCCTTGCTGATTTAAAATCTTTCTCAGCCTTGGCAGCACTGTGTGATAAAGAATCCCAGATTCCCTACCCACTGAGGGAAGAAATTCCTTCCCATTTCAGTCTTAAACCTGTGCCTGCTTACTCTGAAATTATGCCCCCTGTTGCTAGACTGTCCCATAAGGGGAAACAACTTCTTTGTACCGATCCTGTCAAGTACCCCAAGTTTCAATAAGGTTGTCTCTCATTGTCCAAAATTCAAGTAAGTACAGATTCAACCACTCCCCAAAAGACAGTCCCTCCAAACCTTGTATCAGCCTAGTGAACCTTCTCTAAAATGCCTCCAATTCCACCTATCTCCGTTAGATAAGTGGTTCAAAACGGTTTACAGTCCTCCAGCTGTGTTCTAGTTTTAGTCTAGTTTTAACCTCTCCACTTTTATACCCCATTCTCCTTAAATTAAAGACCAAAATTTTATTTGCCTTCCATTTTACCCATTGGACTTGGGTGCTGACATTTTGTGATTCGTGGATGATGACTCCCAAATTGATCTGCTCTGTAGCTTACTGTAGTTTTCCTCCGTTTAAATAACAACATTCAGCTCCTCTGTTCTTCCTGACAAAGTGCATAATGTCACCTTTTCCCAAATTACATTCCATCTGGCAAGTTTCTTCCCTACTTGCAACAATCACCATCCCAACTACTAGCCCCACCCCTCCTCTCTGTGCTGCCTTCCTCCTCACCACTTCTGAAGAAGGGTCCTGACCTGAAATGTCAACTTTCCTGCTCCTCTGATGCTGCCTGGCCTGCTGAGTTCTTCTAGCTCCATGTGTTATCTCTGATTCCAGCATCTGCAGTTCTTTCCGTCTCCGAATGAGTTATAACCCCACTGCGAACCCTCTTCCAGGGATGCCACCTTGAAGAAGTTATCCTCCTCCGTCTGGAAAGACCTTAATGGATCTCTCTCCCACTACAACCCTCTGGTAATCTCCTCTGCCCTGAAACTCCCCACCTGCCCTCACTTATCACCATCCCACCTACCTTCTCCAGCCCCACTCCTCCTCTCTATTTATTTCCGAGCTCCCTTCTCCCTCCCCATTTCTGAAGAAGGGTCCCGACTTAAAATGTCAACTTTCCTGCTTCTCTGATGCTGCCTGTGTTCTTCCAGCTGCACACGGTGTTATCTCGGACTCCAGCATCTGCAGTTCTTGCTATTTCTGATATTCCTCTTCAGATGTTTTGTATCATGCTCGCCACTTGCCTTCCAATCCTACTTTTGTGTCATTTGCACTTGCCTATAATACATTTACTTTCCTCATCCAAGTCATTAATATACATATATATTGCAACTAATTGTGGCCTCAGCACTGATCCCTGTCACATTCCATTAGTTACAGGTTGCCATCCTGAAAATGCCTCCCTTATGCCAACTTTGTGTTCTATTAATGAGCCAATCTCCAAAAGTATGGGCTCTTTTATTATTGCATAATGTTTGGTGCCTTAGGATAGCTTCTGAACATCTGAATATATTATATACCACTGCTGCTTCCCATTATCTATCCCCCTTGCTCTCAGCTCAGAGAATTTTAGTAAATTTGTCAGGCATGACTTCCCCTTAATGAAGCCATGCTGCCTCTGCATGATCATATTATGTATTTCTAAATGCTCTGCTATTACGCCCTATTATGTGTGCCTAACAGCAGAAGTTAAACTCACTGCAGTATATTTGTCTGTGTTTTGTCTCCATCCTGTTTTTTTCAAAACAAAAGGTGCTCCATTGGTAGTTTTCCTATCCTCTGGACCTTTTCCAGAATGTAAGGATTCACAGAAGATTAATACCAGTGCATCCATTATCTCTATTGCTACTTTCCTTAATATCCTAGAATGCATCTCATCAGGTCCAGAGGACATCTCTTTAGCCCAATATATCGTTTTTTAAAAATTGAGTTAATCTTCAGTATCATTTAAATTGTTTCTCTTCAACATTCCTGTTTCACTTCCATTGTGCTTTTTCACATCTTTCAGCGTTTTCTGTGCCCTCTTTAATTCCTTCACTTCACTCTACTCCTTGCAATCATATCTTTCGTCCTTCAGCTCAACTTGTTTCCTTCTCTTTTGTCACCTACTGTCATTCATTTTTCATTTCTTTCAGCTCATTCGACTTTTCTTCCTCTCCTCCTGGAATTTTCTTGTCACTTTTGCAGTTCCTTTTTTTCTTTCACTTCTGCCTTACCCTTTCTGTTATCTCCCCAACACATTTCTCTCTACTCCACGTTCCATTCCACTTTACCTCATCCTGTCTATCCTTCATACGTGTCTCTTGCACTTCTCTGAATTATTCTTCCATTTGTTTCTTGGATGTCTCTCCTTCACTTGGTAGACAGGATAGCGAAGGTGTTTGGCACACTTGCCTTTATTGGTCAGTGGATTGAGTATAGGAGTTGGGATGTTACGTTGCGGGTGTACAGGACATTGGTGAGGTCACTTCTAGAACATTGCATTTAATTTTGGTCTCCTTACTATAGGAAGGATGTTGTTAAACTTGAAATGGTTCAGAAAAGATTTATAAGGATGTTGCCTGGACTGAAAGTTTTGAGCTATAGGGAGAGGCTGAATAGGCTGGGCCTATTTTCCCTGGAGTGTCAGAGGCTGAGGGGTGACCTTATAGAGGTTTATTATATCATGAGGGGCATGGATAGGGTGAATAGACAAGATCTTTTCCCTGGAATGGGGAATTCAAAACTAGAGGATGTACATTTTGAAGTGAGAGGGGAAAGATTTAAAAGGTACCTAAGGGGCAACTTTTTCACACAAAGGATGGTGCATACATGGAATGAGCTGCCAGAAGAAGTGGTGGAGGCTGGTACAATTACAACATTTAAAAGGGATCTGGATGGGTATATGAATAGGAAGGGGTTAGAGGGATAGGGGCCAAATGCTAACAAGTGGGACTAAATTAATTTAGGATAGCTGGTCGACATGAATGAGTTGGACCAAAGGGTCTGTTTCCATGCTGTACATCACTATGACCCTACGACTTCTATACCTCTTTAATTCACTCTTATCTCTGCTCCTTATCTATCCTTTCTTTTTCCATATTCACTTCCCTGTTTCTTTTACAGTTTTGCTTTTTCACTCAGTTATTGCTCTTTATATGCAAATTACCTTTTAAAAAAATATTCACACTTTTCACTTTCAGCTAACTCAACAGATCAATTAAAGGAATTTCTGGATGGTTCAGCTACTAACTCATGACGAAGAGAGAAGCTTAGCAGTAACAAATTAAAAGTGGGGTTGATTTTACTTGATCAAACGTAGAAATGCAAACTCTAAAAACTACTGTTGATAATAACATATAATATTACAGCAAAAAAGGACACCACTGAGCCTATACCAATTCTTTGAATGAGCTATACTGTTAATGACCCTGCTATTTTCTCAATTTCTTACTTTCCTTTTTTACAATGAAAATTGAATCCACATCTTACCAAATATTTTAGGTAGCATTTTCTGGACCATAATTGTACAAATTAAATGATGTTAAGCAGCTTCTGAAACTGTCTTTGCTCCTCCAGGTGAATTTGACAAACTTCAAACGGAGATCTGGGAACAGAAGGTTTTAGTGAAGAAATTTCTAGTGTATCCTCAGTACGACCCAATACTGTACGACAATGACATTGCTCTTTTGTACTTGAGTCAGCCTGTGAATTTTAGCTTTTCCATTGCTCCAATTTGTCTACCCAACTACAACCTGGGCCAGCTCCTACTGAAGGATGGGAAAGTGGGGACAGTGAGTGGCTGGGGCTCAACCTATGAAAGAGGCCGGTCATCCCGATTCTTGAGGCGAGTCCAAGTTCCATACGTTGAACAGGAAGTTTGCATAAAGTCAACCAATTTGACAGTTACAGATAATATGTTCTGTGCTGGATACAAAGTTGACAATATGGATTCCTGTCGAGGCGACAGTGGAGGGCCCTATACTGTTTTATATCGACAAACATGGTATTTGATTGGCATAATTAGCTGGGGTGAGGGCTGTGCCAAAGTAGGAAAATATGGCATGTACACAAGGGTACCTGGTTACTTGACATGGATATATGAAACTTTATCACAACATAGCTACTAAGACATTGAATTCTGAGTAATCATTAATTAGCATGAACAACAGCACAACAGAAAGAGCAGACACATGTCTAAAGCACTCGGTCACAGGAAAATCATCTCAGCAGGTCACAAAAGTACAATTTAACTTTATTTAGAAGATTAGTACAGGTTAGTTTAGTACAGGTTAGTTATCAGCAAGTGGTATAGTCAATATTATTCGAGCTTAGAAATTTCTGCTTTGGCATTCACTACTTGTAATGCTCAATTCACTCAATGGATCGTTTCTGTTGAAAACACCTTTGCGCTTTAACATTGAAACAAATGCCATTCACATTGATGGGACAGAACTGAAGCTCATGGCAGTAAACAAAGTTATCAACCATCACATACCACTGACCAACGGTCCCCTTAGATTACAATCTGAATTGAACTGAGAGAGTTTAGGCAGCTTTCACTGGTTCTGCAGTAGAAAGCATGGCAATATCATGGAATATGATTTTATGTTGCATTAAGTTAGAGTTTAAATTAGCTTTAGAGTTTTAATTTGTAATCTAACACTTACATGCAGTTTAGATCCAGAACAAATAAACTGCTCTGCAAAAACTGTTTAAGTTTCATGTCTTTTTTTTTATCTCAACAGTAATTATCTATTCATGTTCCCTATCACCTTCATTTCATAGGGATATCAGAAAAATGGACAGAAGTTACGAAAGTTTCTCTTAGACCAGGTCTGTAGACCAAGCATGATCATGTTTCCGAATGAGACTCCAAAGGCCTATATGTCGAATCTTCCAGATTCTAACCTTGTCTACTGTAGTTTAAGGAGGCTCATCAAATGGGGGTGTTCCAAGAGCATGCTCTGTGTGACTTTGAGTTATCTATACTAAATGATTAAGGAAAATTGCAGAAAAGTTGACTCATAACATACTCATAAATCAGTCAGTGAGGATAAATATTCTTTCAGGGTCTGCAAGTCACTATAAGTTGCAAACCAGGTTTATTAATAAACCAGGAAGGGATCTTGCAGAATGTGTGAGGGTGTCTAATATAAATGTAAGAAATCTAGGTCATTTAGCCTCTCGAACCTGCTGCGCCATTCAATAAGATTGTGGCTGATTTGGTAGTCTTTGATTCCTTTACCTGACAAGAATTGATCTACCACTGACTTAAAAATATTCAATGGCTACATTGCTGTCTGAGCAAGCATTTCAAATTCACATATCCCTCAGAGAAAAATTTCTCCACATCACCAACCTAAAACACAAAACCCAATTTTGAAGAGTGCCTCCAACTCCAGATCCACTCAACAGCAAACAACCATTCCACATCTACCTTGTCAATACCATTTAGGCATTTATATACTTCAATCAAGTCACGTCATGCTCTAAACTTCACTAATATCTAACTCAGCCTACTCATTTCAGCTATTAATCTCATCAACATTCTCTGAACTGCCTCTAAAACATTTATATCCTTCCACAAATAACAACAAATCTGCACAAAAAATATTAGACATGTAGTGTCACCAATGCACTATATAACTAAAGTAGGACATTCTTTTATTTCCAATTCCTGTTGTAATAAACAATAGCATTACATTAGCCTTTTAGCATTCTGTGTATGTATGCTAACTTCTTGTGACTCTTGAATTAGAACTCCTAGATCCTTCTGCACCCTTTCTCCATCTAAATTCTATGCTTTATTATTCTTGCTGCCCAAGAGAACTTCACATTTTCCCACATAATACTCCATCTGCCAGAATTTATCCCACTCAATCTCTCTGTCTCAATCATCCTTATGACCTCTTCACAATATATCTTTAGCTTTGCGTCATCTGCAAGTTCAGTTACCATATTCCCTAATTGTCATTGATACAAGCTGTAAAATGTTGAGGCCCAACACAGAAACTACAGGACCCCATTCATCACATTCTGTCAATCTTCTCACTTTCAAACATGCTTCGTTAGCTTTCTACATTCATAGAGTGGTGTGAAAAGGTCTAATGAACTGAGAGGGGGTCAGCACTTTTATCCTGAGCATCAGGAATCTCTGGGTAAGGAGTTGACCAGACAGAACTTTAAAGGAACAGCACTTCAGTTATACTATATCGTACATAAGCCAAATATTAGTAACAGCCCCCTAATTACAAACAATAAACTGTTTAACTGAAAAGTATGGATAAATTTTAAAAAAACATACTTCTGTTTGTGAAATTTGAATAGTCCTAGTTAATTAGCTATCTAGTCAGTGTTCAACTGTCTCTGGAGTGGAACTCTTTATAAGACAGTATGCATGTCCTCAAACTAAAGAAAACTAGTTACAAATAGCTACAGACAGACTCTCTTCCTCTTCCTACAGCAATCAAAACCTAAAATTACCGACTATATCTTTAAGAATCTTTAATAAATCTTATGAACAATTTATAAAAATTAGCTTTTGGCACATTTCAATTATTCAAAAACAAAAAAGGAATTAAAACAAAAAATCAGAATAAATTCAACGAAAAGCTGATTTGTTTTTGAAAAAGTAGTTTTTATTTTATTTTAAATATTAGTAGATCACAGTAAAGGTGGTGTTGGAAGCATTAGAATGCAAGAAGGTGGATAAATCTCCTGATTCTGATCAGATATATCCAAAAACCCTGCAAGAGGCTAGAGAAAAAATTGCGGGGGCCCTGGCTAATAATAGCCGTGGTGAGGTCCCAGAAGACTGGAGGGTAGCGAATGTTATGCTCTGATTCAAGAAGGGCTGCAAAGAAAAACCCTGGGAACTATAGACCGGTAAGCCTAACATCTGTGGTAGGCAAGTTACTGGAGAAGATTCTGAGGGATAAGATACACGTGCATTTGGAAAGATAGGGTTTGATTAGCAGTAGTCAGCATGGCTTCATGCGTAGAAGATCATGCCTCACAAATTTGTTAGAGTTCATCGATGAAGTGACCATGAAGGTTGATGAGGGCAGGGTGGACGTAGTCTGTGTGGCTTTCAGTAAGGCCTTTGATAAGGTTCCACATGGTAGGCTGCTCTAGAGGGTTAGATCACATGGAATCCAGGGAGAGCTGACAAATTGGATACACAACTGGCTTGATGGTAGGAAGCAGAGAGTAATAGTGGAAGGATGCTTGTTGGACTTGAGGCCTGTGACTATTGGTGTGCCTTAGGGGTCGGTGCTGGGCCCATTGCTGTTGGTCATCTATATCAATGATTTGGATGAGAATGTACAAGGCATGATTAATAAGTTTGTGGATGACGCTAAAATAGGCGGTATTACGGACAGTGAGGAAGGTTATCAGAAATTACTGCAGGATCTTGATCAGGTGGGGAAGTGGGCCAAGAAATGGGAAGTGGTGATTAATGTTGACAAGTGTGAGGTGCTGCATTTTGGAGAGTCAAATCAAGGTAGGGGTTTCGTGGTGAATGGTAGGGCCTTAAGGAGTGTAGTGGAACAGAGGGACCTTGGAGTTCACTTGCACAGTTCTCTGAAAGTGGAGTCACAGGTAGACAGGGCAGTGAAGAAAGCTTTTGGCACACTGACCTTCATCAGTCAGGGCATTGACTACAGAAGTTGGGAAGTTATGTTGCAGCTGTATAGGACGTTGGTGCGGCCACATTGGAGTATTGTGTTCAGTTTTGGTCAGCTTGCTATAGGAAGGATGTTATTAAACTGAAAAGAGTGCAGAAGAAATTTACAAAGACGTTGCCAGGACTCAAGGGACTGAGTTATAGGGAGAGGTTGGACAAGCTAGGACTCTTTAGAGCATAGGAGTCTGAGGGGGTTTCTTACAGAAGTGTATAAAATCATGACAGGCATGGACAGGGTGAATGCACTCAATCGTTTTCCCGGGGTTGGGGAATTCGAGGACTACAGGGCATCAGTTTAAGGTAGGAGGAGAACAATACATTGGAACTTGAGCAGCAACTTTTTGACACAAGAGGGTGGTACGCATACGGAATAAGCTGCAAGTGGAATGGTTGAGGCAGGTACATTAACAACATTTAAAGGGCAGATAGGAAGAACTGCAGATATTGGAGTCAAAGTCAATACAGTGTAGAGCTGGAGGAACACAGCAGGTCAGAGTCAGGCAGCATCAGAAGAGCAGGAGAGTCGACGTTTTGGGTCAGGACCCTTCAGCAGGACAATGAAGTGTCCCGACCTGAAACATCTACCCTCCTACTCCTCTGACGCTGCCTAATCTGTTCCTCCAGCTCCACACTGCATTAACATTTAAAAGGCATTTTGACGAATACAAGGATAGGAAAGATTTAGAAGGATATGGACCAAGTGCAGGGAAATGGGCTTAGCATTGATGGACATTTTGGTTGGTATGGACCAGTTTGGGCTGAAGGACCTGTCTCCGTGCTGCAGGACGCTGTGACTTTATGAATTTATCAAGAAAACAAGACACAATTAAGCTTATCACCAACATACAGAAACCAAAGGAATGTATTGAGACTTTGGTGCACAGAACACTGGACAGCCAACAGTCAAGCTCCAAACACAAATTAGTTGCTATCTTTATCTCTGGGACATATGAAGTACAGTGTAGGATCAAATGTGGGGAAAAAAAAAGTATTCCACACCCATTAATAAGCAATTCTGTACAGTCTCAATTGCACGGTCAGTACCGGGTAGAAAAATAAAGGGCACTCACAATGACTCAATAACGTATTTTCCTTTTCACAGATTTCTGGTATCTTTGAAATTTCAGGATGTGGGTATTGCTGGCATATAATTTATCATTCTAGACGTCCCGAGAAGGTGGTGACATTTCACAGCTTATGAACAATATCACAAATAACATACCTTGAGGTGTTTATTTTCCAAGTTCTGGTACTGCGAGTGGTCCTGAGCTGAGGGTGAAATAAGGGAGTGTTGGTGTTGCAGTGGTGTATAACATGTTCAACACAGTATCAACTGAGAACATACAGAAGCCTCGCTTCTGACAATGTGAAATGGACAGGAATTTTTCTTTCACTAACCTAGCAGTATAAAAAAAATCTAGGAATCTGTGGTAGAATTTATTAATAATTTTTAAAGTGCCTATACATTTGATACAAATATTCATACAAAAGGATCTATAGTGACAGCCATAGAAAAATTGGAAAATATGGACTCCCACTTACCTTTCTTCCCCGTGTATCTTAGTTGTTACTTCACGGGTAGAGTGATGCTCGGCATATCTTAGTTTAACAGAAAAAGAGGCAGAGAAAAAAAAACTTAATTTCGACTGGTGCGACTGGTGGTTAGTATGGAAAGGGTGCAGAATCCTAAAAATATTGTGGCTCAGTAATTCCCCATCTGGCTCACTATTACCTCCACCTTCACCCTTCCATTACATTCTTTACCCTTGACCATTTCACTATGCTCTTCTATTGTTATGCCTATTCAATCCTTCCTTTTACTCAGCTCACCATACGTCATGTCACCTAGAACTTTCCATCCAATACTTTTTCACTTTCACATGTTTACTTTAGGTAGTAAAAGACCTTCCCTATCCATTTCCCTCCAAGACAAAGAACTAACTTGCTTTCAAAATCCCAAATTTTATTTAGAAGCAAATTAGAATGAAGAAAGGCACTGCTTACATCTCTCTATATCTATCAGTCTACCTTCATCTCTTGTAGAAATTATCCTGCCAACCTATACACCATCCTTGCAGTTTCTTAGAAAAGTTAACATCCCCTCAGAATTTTTTTTGTAAGTACTGTACAGAAGTAGGCATCTGATGATATCAATATCCCTGGTTTCCTGTTCCTAAAAGCAAATGGCTTAAACCGGGATTCTCAACCTTTCTGGTTGAGATTCTTTACCAGTGTTCTAAATATTCCATAAACCAATTGTAACACAACACGGTAGTTTTCTGATATAATAGATAGCTACACAATTAAACATACTTACTAAAAACCGCAAGAACTGCGGATGCTGTAAATCAGGAACTAAAACAGAAGTTGCTGCTGGGAAAGCTCAGCAGGTCTGGCAGCATCTGTGAAGAAAAAAATCAGAGTTAATGTTTCAAGTC